AAGACTTTCCAAAAAACGACCCCATGTGACAAGGTAAATTATTGGTTTTGACCACAGATTGATGACGGAAACAGAAATAACAAATTCCCGTTCTGTATTTTCTGTTTCTTTTTTGCATTTCTTTTTCTTTTTTCCTCTCGTGGCTTTCTTTCTTCGTTTCGTCCTTTGCTTCTTTCTTTCTTCTTTTTTGTTGCTTCTTTTCTTTTCTTAATCATTGTTTAGTTTTTTAGTTTAATTTTGATGTTTTTTAATTTTTTTCCAATTATTAAGTTTTTTTATATTTTTATTTTAAATTTTTTTATGTTTGTATGATTTCATTTATTTGGTTTAATTAATATAAATTAAATTAAGTGATAAAAAACAATATTAAAAAATAAAAGTGAAAGGGTAAGTGAAGAGCTACCACTCTTCTAAAAAAGAGAAGAGAAGATAAAGTAAAAAAACTGACATGACGTTGAATTAGCATAAGAAAAAGAGAGGAAAACAGAAATCATACCAATTACCAATAGGTTAAGAAAGTGAGGGCGCACAAATCTTAATTACGACTTAGCGTTAAACTTACTTTTGGTCTCATAATTATATTGATATTTGTATTATCCATTTGGGATTGATGTGATTGTAGACCTTTTATAATGACAAATTTTAATTCGATGGATTGATATGGACACAAACAAAATCACAAATGGGAATGTTGAAATTTCACATCAAGTATTAAAAGAAAAAAAAAATGATTCTAAAAACACATTTAATTTAATTAAGATTAACCATTTGATTCATGATTTAATTTAGTCTAAGGTTGAGCGGTGCGAACAGCAGGGATTGCGGGTTATGTGAACGCCGACTAAGCCGTGTGATGGTGTAACTAACGCCATCAACGCTGAGCTTTTTTCTTTTTTTTTTCCTTTGCTTTGTTTTCTTCCTTTCTTTCTTTCCCTTTAGTTTTGTTAGACTTTAATCCCAGATTTTTACTTTTTTGCTTTTTTTAGGAGCTTGTTTTGTTTTTAATTTTAGGCTTTTTGATTAATTACATTTTTAAGAAAAATTAACAAACAATAAAATCGAAGAAATGTTAATTTAATTATGTATTTTAATTTTTTTATTATTTAATTTTAAATTTAATGATGACGAATAGTTTTTATCGAGTAGCTGGAATTTTGTCGAAAATCCTGGCGGTGACGTTTAAATTTTTTATCGAGTAGTTGTATTTTTATCATTTTTCTAGTATGCAATTTTTTGTATTTTGTATCCATTTTCTAACATTTAATATTAATAAAATTTTTATTTTATATGTTTAGTTTATTTAGTTTTAATTAAAGTAAACATAAAAAAAGAAAGTGGATGGAATGGGTGGTGAGATCCACACCGCTAAATATGGATGGAAAGGAATAGAAAAAAGAAAAGCTAACGCGGTACCAAATTGGCTGGTGGGAGGGAGTAAAAGTGATTTGGTTAATTAAGACAATAAAACGTTCATATTGTTTCAAAATACCGTCATGAGCTTTCCTAAAATATTACATTCGCTTACAATTAACTTTTTTAAAGGAAAATATAATTAACTTTCAATTAATTAATATAAAAACTTTCACTTAATTAAATTCACCTATATTTAATAAAAAAAGAAATGCTCTTTAACAAAGGAATTGTGCTTTTGTGATCATAAAATTTACATGTGAAACATAGATATTCTTACATATTTTCATGTAGTCCTAATTAGATTTCTTTCCTTTTATAAGACCCAATACAAGTAACTATTCTATATATCAAGACCTATAAAATAGACATGGACTTAACAAAGAGGCTGTAAATATTCCCTTTCTTCTTCTCTCCTTTGCTATTTAAAGTAAATTAAGGAGAATGATTTAAATTCGATAAATGATCCCTTACCAAGAATTAAATTAATGTATTAGAGTGTTAAAAAAAGAAAAAAAATGATTGATTTTCAAACAAAATATTTATAAACCTCACAAACTTATTCTTTGTGAACTTTAATAAAAAAAAATAAAGTACTTTAAAATAGGGGTGGGCAATTGGGTCCAAGAACCGGGAGTCGGAACCGGACCGCTAGGTTCGGTCCGGGTTAGGATCGGGTCCTCTTTTCAAAAATTTCAAACGGTCCGGGTCGGTCCAGTCCTTATAGATTTTAGGGTCGGTCCGGTTCCCAATTTTGAAATTGTATTGGACCCAGACCGGACCGTTTTTTGAAATCTCAATATTATTTTTAATATTATTTCTAGTAAATATATGGATATACGGAAATATACCCGCCTAAGCCCTTCAATCTTTCGACCCTTCCAATCGCAGGCAGAAAAGTGAGAAAACCTTTCGTAGTCAAAGAGTCGGAACCCATGAAGATTGTGAATTTTGTTCTTTTGGAACTCATTGACATTATATTGCCAAAATGTGGTTGTCTTCTTTTTTTTGTTGTTGTTGGATGATCATGAGGTGTACGCTTTACTCTCATGCCCCTCTTTTTCATTGTTTTATTTTCATTTACGCCTCTTTTCTGTGTTGGATGACTTAAATTAATTTATTATCTCTTTATTTTTTTAATATTAGTATCATGATAGGTTCGGAGCCGTTGACCCGTAGAATCGGCCCGTTTCAAACAAGCCGGGTTAGGTCCGGTTTCAATTTTAAAATTTTGAAAACCCGTTCCGGCCCGGACCGTTTTAATAAAAACAAGCCTAGTCCAGTTTATACAAATCTTGGCTCGGACCGACCGCCCCGTGCCCCCCCCTACTTTAAAATAATTGTCACTTAATGTTTAGAGATTATTGCAATTAACCTTTTAAGGAAAAATTTCAAAAAATGAAAAGAAAAGAAAAAGAAAGAAAAGAATGTTGAATATTTAGTTCTTTTTTTAGATCTAGATCACATATTCACATGAAACTTTGATCTAAGAACACACTCCCTATTCTTGAACCGCATTGATTATACGATGATTAAATCGCCCATCTCTTCTTACTTTTAGATTTCCCGTTACAAAACAAAGAACCCAATCCGAAAAATGCGTGCTTTGATGTGATGTTCAAAACAGGGCTGATTCGAGCTCCGCCGTTGCCGGAAGATCTGCAGCTTCTGCTCTTCTTTAATGGAGTATTGCCGCCGTTAATGGTCTTCTTGAACAGTATTGAAGACACCGAGCGTGCTAAGAACGGCTCTGGCCTTGATCCCTGTTTCGGGAAAGATTCCGGCGGCGGCGGCGCCCGAACAGGGGGCTTTGGGTTGGGAGCGGAGCCGGTGGATTTGCTTCTGGACAGGAATTGCAGCGACCGGGCTAGGCCGTTTCCGGTGGATTTACTTCGCCGGAATTTCCAGAAATGCTTCACCGGCGTCCCGGCGTATTCCTCCTCCGGTTCTGGATTCGCAGACAAGAGCTCCTTCAGCATCTTCTTGCTCTGGTCGGCATTGGCGGACGCCGATGACGGCTGCCTGGGCGCGGCGCCGGCGGCGTTCTTGATTTGGACGGGGAGGATCTTGCCGTCGGCGAAAATCTCGTCCGCCGGCGATACTTCTTGGACGAACCCGGCGCGGAAGTCGAAGTCGAAGGTGGGTTCAAAGAGGAAAGGGTCGGCGGGGAGACATCGGCGGTGGAGTTCGACGGGAACGGCGTCGGATTCCCGGAGATCGTGGGAGAAAGAGATCCTCGGACTGGAGAAGGAATTATCAGAGCATAAAACCACCGCCATGGCTTCTAAGGAAATGGGGACAGAGGAGAAGAGTTTTATAGTGAGGATTTTCTGGCAATGAATGTCAGCTTTTTTATGCTCGCCTTAGAATGCACTTAAAGGAAAAATGGACCAAACTTATTTTGACTATTGGAGTGGTTTCCTACATTTCCTAATCAAACTTTCCTTTTTTTGGGACAAAAAAGTTTATTAATGCATCAAAAGATGGATAATAATACGAGTAGCCATGAGGGGTAGACTCTTCCACATCACGTTGGAATTTAGCAAAAAGAAAAAAAAAAAGAGCCTCATCGAAGGTCTCTTCAGACTTGATCGAATGGTCATTGAAAAAAGACAAATTGAATTTTGATCATAGATTATGCATCTACTATTTGCAGAGGCCCTATGCATAACACAGTTGTCAGGAATCGAACTCGAGTCTTACACTCTTGTCACATCTTGCCTTTGCAAACTATACAACGTCCACTGGCTTATGTTGGAATTTAGTAAGAGTACGGGTAATTGGTTCGCCTCACAACATATAAAAGGGACAGAAACTTGAGTTGGTTGAGCGAAGGATGCCGAAGGGAATAATTCGAGTTCGATTCTTAGGAAGTGCATTGTCATGCAACAACAAAAATAATATTCTAATGATAATAATGATAATAATAATAGTAATAATAATAATAATAATAATTAATTATAATAATATTTCCATCATCTCCAATGGAGCCAAAATTTCACCATTTTTTTGGCTTTGGGGTGTGATGTAATAAATCAAAATAGATCTCTAAACTGTCCGCACTTCTTTAATTAATGAACTAGCAATTAGTCAAGTAATACAACTTTCAACGTTGAGCCGGGGGTCTCTTTGGAAACAGCATCTCTACTTTCGAGTAGGGGTAAGCTGCGTACACACACCCTCCTCAGACCATACTCTTGTGGGATTTAACTAGGTTGTTGTTGTTGTTGTTTAATTATAATAATAATAATTAATTATAATAATAATCATAATAATAATCTTAGCTTTATTCTAGTAAAAAATACGTAGTAATTCATAAAGTCAATAACAACGTAGTACTCCATCTTTTCGTTGAACATATATAGAATCGGAATGAATCTTTTGATCTTGGAATCCCTAGTCATATGGTGACACAAGGTAAAAATCATAAACTTTATCAATAGAACACCGTAGGTGCCCGGATCATAATATGACATTGCACTACAAAAAAATGCGGAATTGGCACGGTTTTTTGGCACGGACTGTAGTTTATGTTTCCCGTGACAAAGGTATTAGGCACGGATTTTGGCACGGACACGAAAGGCTACCAATTCGAAGCTCCAAACCGTATGACACGGAAATCGAGTCCGTGCCAAATATAGAGACGGCGTCACTCGTGACAAAATCATTCCAAATTGACGGTTGTAAGAAAAACGTTAAAGATATTAGGCACGGATATGTCCGTGTCAAAATTGTGTTCTTACAAATATAACATAAGTCACGGATATATCCGTGCTTTTATTTTGAAAATTTTCAAAATATTCAAAAATTTTCAAAAAATTCAAATACGCGGGGAGATTAAATTTCGAAATTCAAATATTTTTGCCACGGACATATCCGTGCCATGGATTTTAAAAATTAAAAAAAAAAAATTTTGTCACGGATTTATCCGTGCCTTAGATTTCAAAAAATTAAAAAAAAACAATTTTGAAAATAAAAAATTAATAATACATAATAGGCCATAATTCAAATACGGAATAAATCACTCACAGCATAATAATGTAGATTAATAAAAGTAATATCCATAATGAAAGTAATGTCTAGCATCCAAATGAAGATCATCACAGACAAATGTTAATGATGAATAATTATAGATTTTCATTGTTTAGAAAACTGTTAACACCACAGTTATTTGAATTGTGTCCTTCCGGTTGAACGTTTGGCATTTGGGGGAGGACCGTAGGTTGTTGAAAAATAGGCATGGGAGAAGGCAAAACCCACGGGAATTAAAGGTGCTCCTCATGACTTTGTCTGTGTCCGCCGACAAAACCCCGAGCAACCATGTGTAACGAAGCTATAAATGTAATAAAAAATATATTAGTATTGAAATAAATTAGTATTGTGTTTAGGACAGCTTGTTGGCTGGAAAAAAATTAAAAAACATACAAATAATATATGAGATAATAAAAAACAAAAAAATTACCCCTTCAATTCGGCCTTAGTGATCAAGCGCGGAAGATCCCCGTACGGCACCGCACTAGCCTCCGTTGAAACTCCGTCTCCTCCTTTGCCGCCTCCTCCGCCCTCGACCTCGACCTCAGCCTCCAAGTCGCCAACGTCATTGAATATGGACTGCGGGGTAGTGCTAGATGGCGATTTCGGTGGTGCTCGAGAGTGAGAACGCTGAAAGCTTCCCCTACCGCGAATGCTACCGCGGAAGGAAGTGCTCCTTGCTGAAGACATTGAAAGGAGAAGGAGTTATGCGGGAGGAGGGCGGAGGAGGGATGGCGGCGAAGAAAGAGATAAGAGGAGGAGAGTGGTTAATGAAAAAAATGAGAAAAAACATGTAAGGGGTGGTAATATAATTAAACCGTAGGCACGGACGTATGCACGTCCCCAACAGTGCCTATACCGTGCAGTAAATATCGGATTCTTGGGTAATGGTGTAGGCACGGCCGTTGTCGTGCCAAATTTCAATATCTCTGCGTGTGTCAGGCTTTTTGTGTGAGATCCATTCTAGGCACGACTTTTTCCGTGCCTACTTGAGGGCATTAAACACGACAGTTTTTGGTAATTGCATAGGCACGGCCCTGTCCGTGCCAAACAAAATGAACTCTTCGTTTGTAGGGGTGCATTAATAGCATGTCATAAAACGAATTTATTGGGCTTGTATGTAGGCACGGCGGTTTTCGTGCCAAACTAAATGCCTCTGCAAGTGTGTCAGGCATTTGTCTAGGATTGAAATTAGGCACGGCTATTTCCATGACAAAACAGTCTTGTCCTTTTCGATTTTGAATTTTATGAGAAAGGTAGGGAATTGGAACAACTAAATCCGTGCCTATTGGTTAGAATAAACGCCGTCCGACAACACCGTTAACTTCTTAACGTTTACGCTATTGGCACGACATTTCGCACAGAAAAATGCTAAGCCAAATTGAAACGCAAATAGAAACACGCCATGTGGCTACTTTCTTTTTTTCAGCGTAGTCACGGCATGTCCGTGCCTAATATTCCGTGCCAATTCCGGGAGTTTTTTGTAGTGTTGGTTTCAAAGTCAAAATTATTGTTTATGAGAAAGTCTACCAAATTTTGGAGACTGCAGGTACAATATAGGAGTACTTTATTACTTTCGTGAGTAAATTTGATTAAGAAAAATATGAAATAAATATTTTTTTGTTGGCATCTATAAACTTGACGAAGTTTTGATACCATAAGAACAAGTAATAATAGACATATATCCATGGCCTCTTTAGGTTGTTGATAGGTATGTGTGCTTTATCAAAGCAAAAGTACAGTTTGGAAGATAAAAGTCTCGTTTTAACGGGGTTCTAATTCAAGGGGGCAGCGCTCCCGAGCAGAGTTCAAGGGACGTCAGCCCTGCGGGGTGGGTTCAAGGGACAGAGCCCCTGGATGGGGCTTATTCTAGACAAAGTGTTGTGTTAAAAAATTCGTTTGAATTTTTAATTTTTCGAATTTTTCTTAGGCCCCGTTTGGTACACGGAATTCAAACTATGGAATTGGAATTGAGGACTTCAATTTCAATTTTAGTGTTTGGTAGCACAAAAATTATGTGGATTTGGAATTGATATTGCAAAAAATGAATTGGAATTGGTGAATTCAATTCTACGCAATTGAATCCTATGGAATTTCAATTCCAATTCAATTTCAATTCCATCAATTCTGTATACCAAACGGACTCTTAAGGAAGTTTTTATCGGAAATTGCGCGCTTTTTTTTTATGTTTCGCGCGAGTAGACGCAAACTTAAAAAAAGACACGACCGCATCTCTTTATTCTTCTGCTCTAAATCCGGCACATCCTTGGTCGCAAAAGTACAGTTTGGAAGATTCATAAAAATGCATACCTGTTTTGGTCAAATTTGAGTTTTATTTTATTGATTTTTGGATTGGGTATTCACTTTTTTGAGTTTATTGGTTTAAGGTTCGATTTTGGGTTATTCTACTCAAGCAATCGACTACATTCCCATCCAGCCGATTTTGTCAGGTCTACGACTAGAATCCCCGATCAGCTAGACACTTTATTTGGGGGGATTAAACATTTTAACTTGAGATAAAATGCTGGTTTGATAAATAAATACGTACAGAAAATTACATGTGGAACTTAATGACATGGACTCTAGATGATTAATACACTCATAATAATAATCGTGTTGATTGGGTTAAACTTGAAACTTGTGACAAAAGTATTGGAGGGTTTTGTTGTGAAGTAATTGGAATACTGTGTGTGGATGTGAAGAAATGTACAAAGGAGACGAAGACAAGAATTGGATATTTGGATCTAAGGACTAAAGAGTAGTTTTTTTTTTTAAAAAAAAAGAAGAAGATAATGGATTTAATTCCCAATCAGTGCTGGGTAGGAAAAAGTATTCCCGATCAGTGCATGTCAGGAAATTTTGAATTCAAACGGTTCTTGATGTAACGTTCTGTGTAAACATTAATTTCAAACGGTAGATGCAGTACCGTTCGAAAAAACCCCTTTTAAATATAGGAAGCCAAACCAAAAGAGGGAAGAGGAAGAGACTAGATCCATCCAAAACCAAATCAGGAGGAGAAGAAGGCCGCCGCTCGTCGTGAAAAACCAGTTCCAGCCAAAAAGAGATATTCAAACGGTAGATAGTCTACCGTTTCAAACTCCGGCCGCCGCTCGCCGGAGAAGAAGGCCACCGCCGATTTGCCACTTGCTCTTCTCTTAAAGTAAACACTCTACTATTTTTGCAATTTTAATTCTATAGAATTTTGTTATTATATCTTCAATTTTACATTCTATTTATTTATATTAAATTTAAATTGTTATTTCTATAGTTCCATGTAGTTCCATGTTGTAGATGTAGAAATTTCTACATATTTTTATAGGAAAAATTAAATTGATCATATTTTAGATCTGCTTGAATCACCTTCAATTTTGAATCACCGTTAGATATAATTTTATTTTTAAGATAATCATATATGTTGTAGAAAAATGGATTTGCAAAGAACACAAGTTCATCCAGGACCAATTGAGAGAGACGTACTAGTTTTAGGAGTTGGTGAACATCGTTGTGATAAGGTGTGGCAAGATCGAGAATTTGCGGACATCCCATTGAAGTGCGTTAAGTTTTTCGGTAGCTTGAATGAAGGGTTGGGGGTGGATCGTCATGAACGGGTTATTGAGATTTTGCAAAATTATGGGTTTTATGGGTCGAAAGAATTTCAAAGTTACAAATTGACTGGGCTCTGATTACTGCCTTAGTCGAGAGGTGGCGGCCCGAGACCCATGCATTTCATCTTCCTTTTGGTGAAGTTGGGATCACACTACAGGATGTTGAAGTCCTTCTTGGTCTCCCCGTGGATGGCACTCTTGTGATTGGTTCGGTCGAAAGGTCAAAAGAGAATTGGGTGCAAATGTGTGAGGATATGATGGGGTTTAGGCCTGATTTGGAGGACGTTAGCAAGACACAAATCAAAATGAATGCGATTAAACTCATTACAGTGGATAACCATAGCACTGATATGGACTTTATGCATCATGCCCGGGCTCTCATGCTGAAGGTTATGGGAGGAGCTTTATTTACGAGCACAACAGGTAATAAGGTGAACCTATGCTTGTAGGAGTTGCTCGTGGGCATAGCCCAGCAGGTTCGTAGACGGGCCATAGGCGCAGCCGTACTAGCATGTCTTTACCGCAATATGTGTCAAGGAGCTCTTGTTAACACTGCACAAATTGGAAGGCCACTTGTTCTACTATAAATTTAGGCTTGGGAGCACATTCCGATGTGTAGACCACATGTTCTATTACACCCGGATGCCATCGTTGGAGCACCTTTCGGTGTCAGGTAATGTATTTCGTACATTCTAATTAACATTATTTATTATAGATGGTTGTGTAGTATTTAAAAAATTTATTGTAGATGGGTATGCAATCACCATTGGATACATTCATCCGCCCATTCAATTCGGGCATACCGAGACCAGCTTGACAGGCTACAGGAGAATGAGGTATATATACTTCAAAACTCATATTATTCCAATGTATTTTTTGTTATATGTATTACTTACTGCTTATGTATGTGTCTAGTTCATTTGGGCGCCTTACCCGGGACTTCGCTATTTACACGCACACTGTTATGCCGGGTTTGAAGTATGGTGCGCACGTGTTCCATTGATATACACGTATATGGTGGAGAGGTATTATCCAGACACGTGTTCCATTGATAATCTTGACGAAGTTGCGAATCCATACACACTTTTGCAAGTCGTGCATGAGCGGGCTGTAGAGACCATCCGAGAAGCTAGGTATGGCCAGATGCTTTCTCACCGAGTCCAGGTTCCAGCATACGAGCCGGTGGTAGTGCCTCGAAGACCTGATAGACGTCGAGACGCACCAGTGCGTGGCAGACCTCCTCGAAGGCAACGCCAAGAGAGACAATCAGATCAGGAGATAGAGGATGATGATACACCTACTATCCTACAACCACCATTCGGGGATGAGACGTCCTCTTCACACGCTCCACCACCCAGAGTTCCGTCAGATATCCTATTTGAAGACTTTTTTTCGCAGTTGACTCAAGAGAATGAGATACAAGAGCCTATTGACCAAAGTACACCATTGGTTCATCGTCGGCCACAACGAAAAATACGCGGTAATTTCAAATCCACATAATTTCAAATCCACAGATTTGAATTCATCAATTTTTATTCTTTTGTTACACTATTAATTTCAAATCCACATAATTTTTGTGCTACCAAACACTAGATTTGGAATTGAAGTGATCAAATTCAATTTTATAGTTTGGATTTTGCATACCAAACGGAGCCTCAAAATAATTGTCTAATAGTTTTCTAGTACTCCCTCCATCTCCAATTTGATTATAATTTTTTTTCTCTCTCCTCTCGATAACCGAGCTTGGACCTTAGCTTGGGTCTTTGGTGAACATGGGCGGACGTCTAATAATACGACCTCCCTTTCTCCAAGCCCATGCTATATAGACATGTGTATCAAGCCCAATGTACCAGGAATCCGGCCCCAACTACTCCCCGAGTGAAGTGGAGTATGTAAAACATTGTTTTTCCCTCACGGCCGACCATGGAAGCCCCACTAGAGCAGCAGGAAAGGAATTACAACAACACTTGTCCATTCTCAGTGTCAAAGAGGCCGGAGTTCTATCATAAACCTAAAATCCACAAGATTTTCACAAATAATTTTTTATTTAAAAAAAATAAAAATTAAAAATGCTAATCTCAATAGTAGGCAAATGCTCATTTGGCTTATATGAAAGTTCATCTTGAACCGTAGGTCAATGCAAAAAAAATGTGGCAAAGGATAAAAGAAACTCAAAAGTGCAAAGTAAAAAAATGAAAGTCTTCAGTTTTGGAACAAAATCCCAAGTAAGAACTTTTTTAACAGGGGCGGCCCAGGGAGGAGAAGTGGGCCAATGCCCCAAGGCCCAGTTTTTTATTTTAATATTAGGTAGGCCTATTAAGCAAAAAAGAATAATTTGATGTTTAAAAAGGGCATAGTAAAAGAGTTCTGATTTCATACTTGAAATATGATAAAAGTATAAAAAAAAATACACTACCAAAATATACGGAGTACTCCGTAGCCATTAGAATCTAACCATTTGACTTAATATCTGCATTTATATGTGAATATATTTTATAAAAATTTAATATTGCAAAACTACGTTTCATAAAGAAACTATTGGTATTATATTGTATTTTTTCATATATCGAAGTTAACGTTTATAAACTTTGATCAAGAAAAATCAAATTGAAAAATTGTTTTCGGGCGGAAGGAGTATTTCTTAATTTTTGTAAGCATGACCCTTCCCTTGCTTCAAAAATAGGGATGTGTTAATGGTGTTATATCATACACAAATAAAATACTAAAGAACCCATTTGGTGTACCCGAGTATTAGGTTTTAATTTTCTATGTTGGGCCTATGAATCCAATACTTAAGATTAGATCTCTCTTAAAAAATATATATATTTAAGATTAGATCCCATACTTGAGAGAAATGAAGTTATAGGACATACAAAGTGTGATTGCAGGTCCATTCTTGGGTCCTAAACTATGGGATGTGTCAACAGATGTGGGTGGTCTGAGGGGTGGGGTGGGGTGAGGTAGGGTTAAAAAACATGTGATAAATATTTAATTTAATAAAATGTGTGGTAACAAAACTATAATTAAATGCAGTTTGTTTCTATAGTTGTGGTGTTTCATTTTGAAGACCACAGCTATTTATGGCAGAGTTGAGTAAACAAAAAAAAGGCAAGAAACAACATTGTCCTTTTGGTAAAAGCTTAAAGCTCATCATGGCAACACACAAGAACACAACAAAACAGGCAGGTATTATGACCAAGAGAAATGCTTCCAGATAAAAATAAACAGTCAAGAATAAAAGATAACTCAGAATGGTAATGAATTATGGAGGCAAAAAACAGAAACCCAAAACTCAAAAGTGCATAACAAAGATGGAACTATGGAAGTTTTCAGTTTGGAACAAAATTTGAAGTAACTGAACCTGCAAAAATGGTTCCTTTTTTTCATTTCACTCTTCCCAAGACAGTATGAATGTATATATACCATATTAGAAAATGAAATAAAGATTAGTTTGGCACAAAATTTCAAGAAATGAAACCTTGATGATGATGATGAACAAAAACTCAGCAGAAATTACACTCAATCTGCCATCAAAATATATAAAATTTCACCAAACTTTCGGATTACATTGAGTTTATTTCCGTGATCGCGGAAAGAAAGGCAAAGAAAGAATCATGAATGGAGCTTAAATCATAGGCAAACAAAGATTAGCAATTTCTAAAGCAAATCAGCATATTAAATCTCACTATATATTAGTTGGATTGTTAAAGTTCTTCCATTTCCTGTCACCAAATCAACCTGCAAGCAAAATCAAAAGAAAATAAATGGTTTGTCTTACTTATAACCCCCAGAAATCACATTGCCAGAAAATTAAATCATGCACAAAATGGCTTAAGAGAATCAAGAACCATTCTTTACCTCTTCATATTCTATTGATCATCAGAGACTTTGTATAAATCAGCTGTGATTTCCTTCAGCCATAATCCCGGAAAGAGAGTCTGCAAAGAAAAGAATCAAACTGTAAATTTTCAGAAATTTATTTCAAGATTCAATTCAAATCCAAATTTCAGAAATTTATTTCAAGACTTTGTATAAATCAGCTGTGATTTCTATTTAAAGATTATTTTTTTTAACTCACATCCAAATTTTTCTGGACCAATTTAGATCGTTTCTTGGGGCGGCGGGCGGGTCTGTGACCGACCATGGCCAAGAAATCTTCCTCGATTTCTGGGCGAGCTAGCGGAACAGATAGTTTCACTCGCTGCGCTTCTCGCCGACGGGAAGTGCCGGAGATGCGTTTTCGCCGCCTCTCAATGGGAAAACGGTCTTGGTCGATCCGACGGTGGTCCGGCGAGTCCGCAAGCTCCAGGGCTTATTCGGGTCAGCGGCGGCGGCGGCGGCGGGTTTCTCTTCCTCTTCCTCCTTCAAACCCTCCCGGAAAATCGCGTCTTTCATCTGATCCGCAGCCGTCTGGAGATCGAACATTAACTTCTCCCTCACGGAGGCGATCCCGGCGTCGACGCAGGACCCGAATTTCCGGCTGGTCACGACCGTCTCCCTCTTGGGCCTGCCCGGAGCGACCCGGCCCCAGTCCGATAACCCATTAGGCCGCCGGTGAACGGAGGCGATATCTCCGTTCGAATCCAGCTTAACGCATCGCAAGAACTTCCGATTCCCCCACTTCAATTCACACGGAAGCGTGAAATTGTGCAGCGGCCGTGATCTCTCCGGGCCCATCGCCATCGAAGTCTCTCTCAGCTCTCTCTCTCTCTCTATCTCTCTCGGAAGAACGGAGAAAATTAAGGGTTTCTTGATTTTCTCTTTTTTTTTCTTTTTTTATTTCTCTCCAAAATCCAAATGGGTTGTGAAATCGCCGGGAACAAGTTTATATGAGAGAGGTAGAAGGCGGTTTTAACGTTCGGCTTGGACAACAATTGATGTTAATGTGCGCCGTCTCCTTTGGAAACGTTAGAGTAGGTTTGATACATGGAATTCAAATTATGGAATTAGAATTGAGGAATTTAATTCCAATTTTGATGTTTGGTAGCATAAAAATTATGTGAATTTAAAATTGATAGTGCAAAAAATGAATTGGAATTGGCAGAATTCAATTCTATGAAATTGAATCTTATAGAATTTCAATTCCAATTCTATCAATTCCATATACCAAACGGATCCTTAAAGGTGTTTTATGGTAAAACTAAAGTTCAGTGCACTTACATATGAGTAAAATAAGTATTTTATTATTATTTAAAAAAGTATTATTTTTTTAATAAAAAAGAATTTTTTTATATGAGTAAGTCTATAAAAATCATACACCCAAGATGCATCATAGAAGCACTCGTTGCGTAAATGTCAAAACAAATGTATTCTAAGTTCGATTCTAGGTAACTACGTTGATAGAAACTAGATGTAGACTCTATTTTTTCTCACGAATATATAACTTAAGTCTAATTTATATCTATGATTGTTCAACCAATTGCCCGTTCTGAACAACCCTCAGGGATGGAGTCAACCTTTTTGTTAAGGGTATTTGGAACTTTGGATAGAATAGTGTGCATAGGAAGAAAGAATACAAAGAAATATTCTCTTCGTTTCAAAACAAATTCATATTCTTCTAATCAAATTTTGATCACTTTTTAATTTATTTTAATTATGGAGTACTCATTTAATAAAAAAAAATAGGGAGCAAATAGTATTATCTTGTACTCCTTTGTACAATTTTGACATTTTATAAACAATTAGGATCCACTTTTAATCTATATTTGATAAAAATTATTTCCCCCGTCCCATTAAACATTTTCACTTTGAAAAAAATATAAGATTTAAGGAATGTATGTGTAATGGTGCTACTTTCCAATTTTGTCTTACCTTATTGTAGCGTAGAATATAATATGATATGTACCCCGAAGTATATTAATAGTATATAGATACGGAGTATAATATATTTGGGGTAGTAACTAGTACAAACAAAAGAGATATTTTAATAGAAAGTAGCAATTGTTTTTGTGATTCTTGAAAAGTGAAACTAAAAAGTTTTTGTAATGTAAATGTATTTTAATTCATATTTTTAAAATAAAAACATAGAAGTCTTATTTTGGTATATTTTCAATGTTTTACTCCTACTTTAGTCTTTTTCCAATAAAAAGAAATTTATTGCACCACGACCCCTATGGTTTGATAAATGTACAACGCTATCCTCTATGGTTTCAAAACTTACGTCGTTGCTCTTCGTGATTCTAATATTATTACGCCAATGTCCCTCTAGAATAAAGTATCCTTTAAATATAATGTGAATATCTCTACTGCCCCCTATGATTTCGGAAATTGACAGAAACCTTCCCTCGTTTCTTTATTGTTTCTCTTTTTTCTACTATTTTTCATAAATGTTTTTTAAATTCTTTTTTAAAATTAGTTTTTTATAATGTTTTAATAATCAAATTAATCTGTATTTGCAATAAAAAAACAATTAAATAACAAGAATTAGCGTACAATTCATTGGTCTCAAATTAAATATTTTAATTTTTTGCCTAAAAGAGGTCTTTATTGGTTCGTTTTTAAGATACAAAAATCAATGAAATATTTTCTTTTTTCGCTAAAGCTCATTTCCCATTTTATGTTCATTAATTTTCGCTAAAGAAAATATTTCATTGATTTTTGTATCTTAAAAACGAACCAATAAAGACCTCTTTTAGGCAAAAATTAAAATATTTAATTTGAGACCAATGAAAATTTAAAGCCAATTATTATAGACCGAGTATTACTATATATGAAGTACTTCATAATATGTTATTATTTTTTTTAATATTCTTTCATTATCATTGTTGTTGTTATATTTATTACTACTCTGAGCATTAATTTTTTTGGAGTTTTTAATAGTCTGATATTGTATAAATTGAAAAAAGTTCAAATTTTTTAATTTGGACTATTTATTTTTTATTCTTTATGTTTATGGTTCATTTAAATTCGAAATCAATATTTTTTTAACAAAATTATGTTTTTTTAATACAAAATTATGCTTTTATTTTAATAGTTTTTGAGTAATCAATGTATAATATTTTGGCATGGTTTGAGCATGATTATTGTATTGTACCATTCTGTTGCAAAATGGAATAATGATTTTGGGTTCATCTCGTACAGATACATAGTTACATACTCGTTTAAACAAAAGCGGTTTCTGATAGGTTCCGGTAGTATTAGGGGTCGTGCCCGTCCCTATTAGGTACACGTTCAATCTCATATTGTATGTTTGTTTCTCTCTCCCATTCTCTATTGCGTGTATTTAAAAAAGTAAAATAAAAATAAAAATAGAAGGAATGATGCTTTTGATTTTTGAAATGGTTTCCTTTCAAAATAGAAACTAGCGTGTAGAAGAAAAGATATAGAAATGGAATTGGAGAAGCAATGGTTTTGGTGGTGTTTTGACTTTTGAAAAACACAAATTTTTTCGTGGAACTAAGATTCATATTTATTTTTTAGACTTTAGTACATCTAATGAAAGTTGTACGAAGTATAACTTAGGCTAAGAACGATCTAAATATTTTTTTCAACAACCGGATTGCCTGAACCGTGCATATTTTTATTAAAAGAACCTAGACTAAGTCTTACTTAGTGTTTTAAAATTATTTTTCCAATTAATTTAATGAAAAAATCTATTCACTTTATTCATCTATTATTATTAGCAACTTTCTAAAATAATATAATTATGTCATCTCCAATTTTATATATCTATTGATAATTTGATATCGTTTTAATTATATAAATTTTATTTTTAAATTCTAAACTGATAATAATAAAACAAATTGAGTTGAAAACAAGTACCGTGAAATTAATTTTAGGAGGGAGGAATTATTCATTATCTCGTATTTCGAGAATTTCAATGAGCTTGTGCCAATGAAGAGAAAAAAATAAGTTATTTTTGGTTTTAGAAAAAATGATTATGTTAGGATAATTATAATCAAGTCAAGAATAAATAAATTCTTCAATTTTGTGAACCGAAAAATTAAATATATGATAATATTCATAGCATAAAATAATAAAAGAAAAATTATACTCGTATGTATTTAGTATAAATGTCATAGTATCATTAGTATAGATTAAAATCAAACTAAATCAGGATTTGGACCTAAAGTAACCAAACCTGATTAAGTCTAGATTTAATAAGAGAGATGATAAACTTGACGAGTCTTTGGCACACTGTCTTCAAGTGTGTGCTCTATTCTATTTTACTTTTTTGAATAATACTAAGGTGCCACCATATATATGGGTGCACCAATGGTAGCATCCAAGTGGTGACACCCTAGCTTGACCCATTTTTTTCCACGTCAAAAAATATTTTCGAAACTCTTACTCATTACAAATGCCCTTTGGCTCAATTAGGCATTCGGGCAACAACATTTGCTACCTCTATTCATGATCAAATCTGCATGTAGTTCAGCGTTGGCACAAGGGTGTTACAAAAGAAAGATCTCGAGTTCAAAATCTAGTGGCTATAAGTACTAGACTCGGACCCTAGCTATTATTGCTCAGTTTTCCAATACTCGAAGTTTTATTCCTAATATAAAACAAAACATTAGATACTTCATTCATCTCAAAATAAAATTTACAATTTGGTTCACATGATTAAACTTAATTCTCTTTTTTTTTATTTCATTAATTTCAATTATTAATTTAATAAAATAATCTAGTCATACCATTCTTTACTTTTTAAACCTTTTATTTTCATTGTTAACATATAAATTTTACTCCCTCCGTCCCTCTGTATTTGTTCACTTTCATTTTTACACACCATCTAATGCACTTCTTTAATCCATTTTATCTTATAATTTGTATATTTAAAAATTATAAAAATTATATATTAATAATCTATATGTTAAGGCAAATCAAACAAGATCACACATGACTATATTTAGGCTTACACATTGAGAGAATTTGATGAGTCAAAGTGCTTAGATGAACAGTTCCAAAAGTCAAATGTGGACAAATACAGGGGGACGGAGGGAGTATCATTTAATTCTACACTAGTTATCAAACTAATTCTGCATCAGTCATTTTTGGGCCTCTAAACTTGAGACCTTGAGTTGTGATGTTATCCATAAATCATAAATTGACAATTTTATTTTGAGACGAATGAAACAATCATACAATTTACCTTGATGCACATCACCTTTGACATGAAGTCCTGTTACAATATCGATTAACAATAGTTGTGTGATTTTTTATGTAAAAAAAATTGTCTGTGTTCACAAATAAAAACTCACATATAGAGACGATAATCATTTATGTTCACACATAGTTATTGTCGTCTGTCTATATATCAATCATCTCTCTTATCAATTTCTAGCATTTTTTATACATAAAACTCGTATCATAAGAGAATTATGGGTACTCTTGAACAAGCACAGCCAATTGGAATAAGCAAAAAAGAAAAAATACACAACACTAATTGTTTGGGAAAATTAAAATATTGATTTGCACTATGATCTGAACAATCGTCTTCAAGCTAACAATGGCTTCCATATCTTTCATTGCTACTGATCATCAGGAACTTTGTACATGTCTGCACTAATTTCTGCCAACCACAATCCAGGAAATAGGCTCTGCAATTTCATCCAAAGAAGAAGAAGAAGAAAACCAGTTAATTTCAAGAAAAAATAGAATCCCAGTATTGAATCATGTAAATTTTGAAGGAAAAAAAGAATTGAATTTAGGGCTTACATCCAGATTTTTCTGAACAGTTTTGGATCGTTTCTTGGGCCGGCGGGCGGGTTTGTTGCCGGTAATGGCCGCAAAATCTTCCTCGATCTCTTGTCGGGTGAGTGCGACGGAGAATTTCGCTCTGCCCCGCTTCTGCCCGGCGGCAGAGCCGCTTGGGATTCTTGGAGATCTGTTTTGGGTCTTCATTGGCGAACCATTCGGGCGCGGCGGCGGCGGCCGGACATCAGATTTCGAACTCGGGTTGGATTCGCCGGAAGCGGCGGTGCCCGTGAATTGCTTACTAGAGGACCGGCGTGCACGCAAATTCCACGGCAAGGCGGTTTCCGATGGACCCGCGGGGGGATTAGTGTTCCGGCATATCGCCGGAGCCGGGGGCTCATCCTCGCCCTTATCCGCCGCCAGCGGCGGCTCTTCGTTTTCTCCCAGACCCATCATGAAAATCGCGTCCTTCATCTTAGTCCCCGCCGCTTGGAGATCAAACAGAAGTTTCTCCCTCACGGCTGCGATCCCGTCTTCTACTTCCGACCGAAACTTCCGGCCGCCCTCCGTCCGACGATTCCGGAGAACACCCGTGCGCGGATCCCGCCAATCTGATCCATGGCTCTGCCGCCCTATAGCAGCCTCTGACCTTCGCGTCCCGAGCAGCTTCTCCGACGACGACCGCCGGCCAACGGCGGCGATTTCTTCGTTCGAGAACTTCCGCTTTCCCCACTCCAAACCACACGGAAGCGTGAAATTGTGCAGTGGCTGCGGCGGCGGCGGCGGCGGCGGCGGCGGCTTCGATCTATGCGTACCCATTGCCATATCTCTCTCTCTTTCTTTCTATGGAGACTCGGGAGTTCGCCGGAACCTAAGTTTATATTGGGGGTGTGATGGTGCTAAAATGCGCCGTTCTAAGGTTCATGGCTCATGACCATGTGGGCTTTTAGCAAACGACGTCGCTCGAATATTAAAAGTTTTTTTCCTAACCAAACTAGGACCGCTACTCCGCTAGTATGGAGGTAAGCAAGTTTTCAATCGATACCCAAAATCATGTAAGTAAATGACTTCCAAATACCCTTAAGCATTAATCAAATGGTATAAATGTGATTTTTCTAAATGAAAGGTCACATGTATATATCTACAACAACAACAACCCAGTTAAATCCACAAGAGTAGGGTCTGGGGAGGGTGTGTGAACGCAGACCTTGCCCCTACTCGAAAGTAGAGAGACTATTTCCAATGAGACCCCTGGCTCTAGGGCTGTGCATCGGTCTAAACCCAGACCGACCCGGACCGGTCCGGGACCGGACCGGGACCGAATAAGAGCAAAGTAATGGACCGTAGACCGGACCGATATAGTGTGAGACCGGACTGGGACCGGACCGAATAAAATTGGACCGGACCGAATAAGGACCGAATAAGGGACGACTGGACGGAGTGCTGCGAATTGCGATTGGAGCCCTGCGAATTGCGATTGGAGCCCTGCAAATTGGGATTGGAGCCCTACGGAACCGGTGGATGACACTGCGAATTGCTGACAGTGTTGAGTGCTGAGAGCCTTGCGATTTGTTGGAGACTCGGAGGATTCCGCTGAATCGGAGTGCTGCGGCCTGCGGGAGTGCGTGACCTCACTGACATTCGTGTCCTTTAAGATTTCTTCGGCGAGAATGAATGCTAGATGGCCAGAACCCCCAATCATGTGTGGATTTGGCGATTTGCTACTGGAGTCTGGAGATGTTGATTACTAGACTTGATTGGACTAGATTAAGGTGGATTATTTGGGGTAACATAATCCCTAAAGCCCATATAATTAAGCCCATATTATATATATATAATATATAATCGGTCCACCGGTCTCACCGGGTTTGGACCGGACCAGACCGGAACCCGGATAAAGAAAATTGATGGACCGGAGACCGGACCGAATTAGGACCGGTTCAGACCGGTCCGGACCGGTCCGGACCTGTCCGGTCCGGTCCGGTTTTGGCTGGTCTTCGGGTCGATCCGGGTTTAGACCGAATAATGCACATCCCTACCTGGCTCAACAACCCAGTCACATGTATATATCTAAGTGAGAAAATAAATTTGAAGAAATACTACTCCGTATTTTGTAATCGATTTCAAAGTAAAATCTCTAAACAGGAGTGCAACATATTTTACATACTCAAAATAAAAGCTCAAACTTAAACTCCTTCAAATAGGAGTAATTAATTAAGTAATAAACAAAATATAATATATAATATTAAATCCCTAATTAATCTCATGTCTCTCTGTTTCCTCTCCTAACGACCACCTCACTATGCCTCTCTCTCTTTACTCTCTCACATTTTTGATCACCACCATCACCATTTTAAAGTGTTGCCTCCGTAAAATCATCCCCAAGTGTAGTACATCACCGCCGCCCCACTCATTGAGTGATACCCGCTAACAGACTAAGGTGTTCCTAACCGAGGATTGCTTTTAAAATTTTAAAATGAGTTCAAACTTTCTACACTGTACATGTAACATAATAGAAATATTTGACATGACAACCTCTAAGGTGGGAAGCTTTTTTGGATTTGATGGTAAAAATAAAGGAGCCCTCGCGCACCGCCACCGCTGCTATCTTTTCGGCTCAGCACAACCGCGCGAGACACGTCTTAACGTGGCGAGGGCATGAGCTAACTCTTATCTTTTAACGAGACTGAATCGTACGCAGGTGGATACTTTGTCGATAACAAAAGGTTGAAAAAGTAGCATGCATGCACCTTTAGAAGAACCGTGTCACTCCTTGTATTGTCTGCCATGTCAAACCGAAGGGTTTAAGTTGCAGAGAAGAAAACTTACTTGGACACAAAAGTTCTCTACTTTCAAACTCTCTCAATTTCTGATATATTTTCTGGCGAGTAACACTCCTTCGTTTGAGTTTGTCAGAGCACCACTGTTCTAGCACTCTAGACTTTACACGTTAGTGACTTTATCTTGGAGTAGATTTATCACGTTGTCAGTGCTAGAGACGGGCGATACTACCTAAAGGAAACCTTTGGCGACTCCGTTTTCCTTTGTTTGCAAGTTCTCTCTGATCACCATTGTCCAGGCCGAGAAGCTCCAGGATCTGTTCGTCTTCCAATTACCGACGTCTAGTTTATTTTATTATTTCTTCCATTGCAAAATCCAAATAAATTATAAATTCAAATTATTTTGGTGTATTTCTTTCTTGCTGTAATCTTTTGTTCTTACAACAACAACCACTACCATGCCACTCAATTTCATTTTTTTCACTATAAGAGCACTGGTAATGGTTATGAAGCCCCGGGGCTTCAAACCGGGGCTTCAAAATTTCTCTATCTGCCACGTCAGCTTTAACTTACACCCAAAATTCACTGGAAATGGTTTTGAAGCCCCGTGGCTTCAAACCTTCATTTTTTACATTTTTAAATATACATCTTCTAAAATTAAATTAATAAAATGTAATTAATTTATTATTTAATTAAATTGAAACACGAATAAAAAAAATACATTAATTAAATAAAAAAAAAGCGACAATAATTTAAAAAAACATACATTAATAAAAAAACTAAGGTAAACTATATTTCTCCTTGATCTCTCTCATTCTTTGCTCGTAGATAATTTGTCCAAACTCCGACAACGTCCCGGGGTCGGTTTGCATGACTTTCATCTCGGCCTCCTGCTCCTTTATCTTCAACTCCTTCTCCTTTAGCTTCAACCTCTCTTGTTTCTGGAGATTGAACGCCCGAAGTTGTTCAACCATTGCCCGGCCGATTTCGTCGCGGGGAGAAGCGGAAATAGAGGCGGACCCTCCCGAACCAGAGGCAATGGATTTTGCCTTCTTTCTTCCGATCGGCCGTGGAATGGGGTCCTCGTCATCGGAATCCACAACGTTGAAGGGAGGGATTTGATCGGTAGAACCGATAGTCTCGTCGACCTCAACCTCAGCGGCGCCGGTGGATCTTTTCCGCAATGATCCGCCGTCGGGGATTGTTGAGTTGTTGCCACTTCGGGGAACGACTCAAAATCTTCCAAAGATCGATGGGCACCTTGCCTTGGTTCCCGTCGTCTTAATACCGGGTCGTGGCAACCCGGAGAACATCGGCGTCGTTCGTGCCGCTCCTCCGGGACCGGGAGCATTCCTCGTAAACTCCCATAAACTTTCGGACTTTTTTGTTGATGTGGCACCATTTGGAAGTGAGTTGGTCCCGGGTTCGGTAGGAGCCGTCTTTCTTCATCGCCGTGAAGAACTTCTCCTCGATACGATCCCACATCGCATCCTTCGTTTGCTCCGTACCTTTAAAAATGTATTACACAATTTTTTTTAGACACCATTAAATATAATATATATAAATCAAAACATAAATATATTAGAAAAAATAATTTTTTTACCAATGATAGGATGCTCGGAGACGTCAACCCAAGCCGACGCCAATATGCACTCCTCCTCCGGCGACCACTTTTTGATTGACCGTGCCTCCTCGGTCAACGTGCTTTTGGCTTTGTGACTTTTCCGGCGTGTACTTTTTTTCGATCCGGACGGTTCCGGTTGAGTCTCCGGAACCGAATCTCGGTCGACGTACCCCGATTGTTGCGTCTCGTACATCGGCGGTTGCTCGCCCAACTCTTGGTAATACCACATCGCGGCGTCGACGGGCGGGAGATCGTCGGGAAAGAAGCCGGAGCCGGAAGGATTCATGTTGAAAATTGGGAGGGGGGGTTTGAATTTTGAAATTTAAAAATAAGAAAGAAGAAGAGATTGAAGAGAAGGTGTGAGAGATTGGTTGGGGAGGGTTGAATTTATAGAATTTTTTTTTTTTGAAATCTGGGCTGCAACGGCTTTTTTAGCCGTTAGGAGGGAGCCGCGCAAGAGTCACGCCGCGTCATTCGTTTGACGCAAGGGCGATCACGCCCGATCACGTCCGGAGGGGGCGGTGTTTCACGCCGGTGGGCGTGAGGCGTATTACGAGTGCTCCAAAGTAGGAGCGACTATACTTCACAAGGAACATAAACATAACTTTCTCTCTCCCTCATATTCTATTCATCTTCATTCCCTCGAGCTTAAAGATTCATTAATGGCTTCAAAGCCTTCACTAGGTACACTAACTCTCCATAGATATAATAAAAGGCATCTCTTCTCTTTGATTAATACGGAGTATGTTCTTTAAGGCCTATCCCCATAGACTAAAATCCATCAACTAGTAATTCACATTCAAATCCATCAACCAGGACACAAAACTCACATACAAAAGGTAAATTAATCACAAGCTAAGGAAGATTAAGAAAGAATAAAATCCTGATTTTCATTATATTCAGAGCCATTGTCTTCAAACCAAACAACATCAACTTATACCCATTGAACATCACAAGAAAATGAAATTAATTTAAGCAATTTGTTAATCTTAAATCTTTACTGAATGTAATAATAATGTTATTTCTCTGTAAAAAATCATAATTATTATTACAATATGGAGTAATTAATAATGAGATCTGCAACTTGTTATGTTCTCAATTTGCAGGAAGATTAATAACAACATAAAATGAGAATTTTTTTTATCAAAGATCAAATCTAAATTGCTAAAAGAATTGGAAGAAGATATAAAAAATCTTTTCTTGTTACTGATCATCGGAAACTCTGTACATCTCAGCACTTATTTCTGTCAACCACAATCCAGGAAATAGGCTCTGCAATTCCATCACAAAAAGAAAATTAAAACAGAGTAAATTTCATAGAGAAATCGAAGAGAAAATAAAAATGATTGAATTTTGTAAATGTTGATAGATTTTTAGGACTTACATCCAGATTTTTCTGAATATATTTAGCTCGTTTCCTGGGCCGGCGAGATGGCCGGTGACGGATTATGGCCGCGAAATCTTCCTCGATCTCCGGCCGGGAGAGGGCAATGGAGAACTTTGCTCTCTCCCCGGTGGAAGAAGCGGCGTTGGCGGCGGCGCAGCTAGTGGGGAGCTTTGGAGATTTGTATTCGGCCTTCAATGGGGAATCGTACGCCGGCGGCGGAACAGGGAGATTTGAATCTCCGGTGAATCCGTTCGGTGCCTTGCTACCCGATCGGCGAGTCCGGAAGTTCCACGGCCCGGCGGTTTCCGATGGACCCACTGGGGTAATAGTCTGAGAAGCAGTCATCGGCGCCGGGGGGCGTTCGCCGCCGTCTTCCGCCACAGGCGGTCGCCGCCCTTCGTCTCTCAGACCCGTCTTCAAAATCGCGTCTTTCATCTTATCCGTCGCCGCCTGGAGATCGAACAGCAGTCTCTTTCTCACGGCGGCAATCCCGTCGTCGACCTCAGCCCGGATTTCCCGGCCACCCTCCGATCCGAGGCCCTGCAACCCAGAAGCAGCCTCCGATCCTCGCCACCCGAGAGACTTCTCCGACGACGATGACGACCCATCAGACCTCCGGTGGACGGCGACGATTTCTCCGTTCAAATCAAGCTTGCCGCACCGCAAGAACTTCCGGCGACCCCACTTCAAATTACACGGAAGCGTGAAATTATGCAGCGGCGGCTTCGATCTTTGAGAACCCATTGCCATTGAGAGAGAATAATAATATAGGGTTCGTTGATCAATCGATTCAATAATTTCTCTTCTATTTTTTTTTTTAATTTTCTTTAAATTGATTTTTTTTTCTTGATACTACTTGGGTTGTTTTTTCACTTTTCCGTCTGAGTTCGCCGGGAACCTCACAGTTTATATAGGGACGGTTTAAACCTTGCTAAAATGCGCTCTGTTTGTGGATCACTGGTTCCGTGGTTCGTAAGGGCTTCCACCAACGGCGTCGTTTGAGTCCTCTTTAAAAACTTTCACGTAATTTATTTAAATAAAACCAAAACGTAATAACTTTCTCAATTTAGGATCATATGTTTTTATTTCTAATGTATGATCATTGGTCATTATCTATTAGTCATTATTCAACTAAATGTCCAGCATCACTTAGACATTTATTCTTCTCACTAGTCATTATTAAGTCCTATTTAGGGAATAAAAATATTTAAGTTCTATATTGGAAAATTACTTGTGTTTTAGTCCTATTCAATAGAAGTTTCACTTTAATTTTAGCAATTCAAAAATGCAATCAAGTAATAAAAAATACTCAATATATTGTATAACTAGATGTACGGTATTTGTCAAGCATCCATGACGAATCCACATTTAGGAATAATAGAATATTCATTTCAAAAATTTCTTTAATTTAGTTAGTTGCACATCCTTCTGTATTTTAGTTGAAATGAATCAGATCAGACGATACCTGTTATGGTACCTCGGTACCGATCAACACACGGTACCTCGGTACTATCTAGACGGTTCGGGCCTTCGGGGTATGCCTGGTGTCTGGTACCGCCAGAGACGGCTTGTGACTGTACTTGCCTACCTCTACCGGCGGTACCTAACTAGATACTGTCCGGGTAATAGTTTGATACCATGTCTATGTCAGTTTTGAACAATGACATCTTCAACCTCGGGCCAGTTTATCCAATTTTCTCCAAATTACAATCTGATTGCACTGTTACGATCAGGCTGTCAAACTCTATCAAAAGCTATAATTTTTATATTTATTTGTAATACTTTTTCCGACATCATATTTTTGGATGTTTAACTTGACAGAATCAAAATTAATTTAATTAATCTTTTATTCAAAAGATTTTCATGTTCAATTCATATTCTTTATTCTCATGATTTCTTTTAATAAATAATCTCAAAAGTTCACATCATAAATCAAATTCTTCATTTATTTTTGATTTGGATCTCTACTCAGATTCTCAATCAAGATCCCATAAACAATCAACATATTAAATTTAATCTCCATGGGATTTATCGAGATTGTGATATTGGATATCAATACATTCAATTTCGACCCAAGGCCCTAAAATAATTTATTTTAATCAAAACAAATTTGTTTAACTGAATAATAACTCAATATAACTTTTAGGATGTGTTTTAGGGTGTTACAGCCTGATTGTCAAAGAAAATATCCTCCCCCGCCGAGGTTGAGGCCGATGACAATATCGGCTCATCGAAACAAATGCCTCTCTTCAACCTGAACCACTTCGATGACAAGTACCCCATTTCACGGCCGATCGGAAAAAAGAAGGCAAAATCTATTGCCTCGGGTTCTGCAGGGTCTGACTCTATTTCTTCTCACAACGATATTTGTCGGACAATGGTTGAACGAATTCGGGTGTTCAATATTAGAGATGAATAGAGGGATAAACGAAGGCAAGAGGAGGAGCTGGAAATAATGCAAACGAACATTGATACAATGATGCATTAACGATCTTCAAACAGATGTATTACTAGAGAAGACAGGACGAGATCAAGGCTAAATGTAATTTGCTTGAGTTTTTTTAATTAATGTAATTTTTTAATTAAATTTTATTTTTTACTTAATGTAATTTTTTGTTTAATGAATCATTTTTGTTTAGATTTAATTAATTAATGAAGTTTTATTAATTTAACTATATAAAATGTGTGTTAAAAAATAAAAGAATGAAGGTTTAAAGTCTCAATTTGAAGCCCTAATTTGAAGCCCTGGTGCTTCAAATTCATTCATAGTGAAAGAGTGAGAAAAATTTAAACTAACATGACAGAGAAAAAAATTTTAAAACATCGGAGCTCCACGAGTATTTCTAGTATTCTTAGAATCAAAGGCCTCTACAATATGTTAACTAAAATGGCAAAACTTGGTCCATGCGGGAATGGCTGACCTAGGAGTGAAGCTGAGAGGGAAACTACACACACCAAATAATAGAGAGAGTGATACAAATACAACACACTAACACATAATAAAAATACTCGTATAAAAAGATTTTGCATTTCCTTTTTTGTTTATTCTTAAAAAAGCTCAATTTTTGACTTAAAAAAAATATGGTGCATATAATTTTTATTTCTTCTGCATTACTTCCAATCATATAAAATAATTTAATTTTTTGTGGTTCTTTTCCCAAAAGAAATAATCCTTTTCTTTTTCACAAAAAAAAACCCCTCATCAATGTAATAAGCATTTACGGAGTAATTAATTTGTCACTCTCATGTGAGAGTTCACCTTAAATGTGGATCTGGAGTTAACCATAGCATTTGGTTTGACTTCACACGATGAACTTTGATATGATGTGATTAAAATAAGAGAGATTATGCCTTTAATTTTTGAACGGTGTGAGTATCACATAGACACATACTACTACAAAAAAAATATTTAATTAAATTTTTATCTCCAAAAAGTTTGAAAACCTTGTTTTTTAACTATACTAATCTACAATACAAATTTAATGTAATTAATGATTATAATTCATTTAGTTTGACCCCAAAAAAATTAAAATATTTAATACTCCCCAACATAGAAAATACTCTCTCCATCCTAAAATTATCTTTCCAGTTCAATTTACGTGATTTGACTAAAATTATTTTCAATTCAATTTATATGATTATAGATATAAAATTAAAAAATAAAAGTTATATACTCCATATTTTAAAACTACATCAAAAGTCTACAAACAAGAAGTGAGATGACTATATTACTTTATCAAATAAAAAATAAAAACAAGTAAAAAAATTCATTATACATTGATCATGTAAATAGTATCTAGAAAAATAATTTTAAGAGGAAGAAGTAACATTTTTGAAAGCTAATTCCATTCATAACAACTGTATATTCTGCAGAATCTGAACGTGGGGCTTTAACGGCTACTTCCAATACTTCAAGAGGCTCCCCATATAACCTTCCAAAAGTGTCACCGACCCTCTAACCTTTTCCAGCCTATCATCTTCTTCTTGCAAGAAAAAGACCCTTTTTAGCCCAATAAAAATGCCCCAAAGAAACCAAAAACCTGCAAAGAAACTCCATGCCCAGAAAAATGTTCAAGAAAAGGTCATCTTCACCAGTTCTGCAGAAAATGGCCAATCTTTTAGCCGAAATGAGAAGACCCATTGCTGCAAGGCTCAAGATTTCTCTGAAATGTTCAAGGAAACTGAAGAGGGCCAGGCTTCTCAGGCATTACAACTATGGGTACATTCAAGAATACGAGTATTCTCCTTCGTGCACACCAAGTGTTCGACATTATTACTACAAGAGGGAAGAAGCAAAGAAGCTCCATTTTGGCTGCAGAGGGCTGTTTAGTTCCTTGTTCTTGGTCTATAGGTGTTTGGGTGCGCCGAGCAGGGGAACTGATGATGAGAACCAGGCGGTTTTCATCCCGAATTTGAGCTCCGGGTCGGAGGCGTTTGGTTGCAATGAAGAGAGAGAGGTGAGGTCCATTGATGAGAGGGCAGAGGAGTTCATTGAGAGGTTTTATGAGGAGATGAGGAGGCAGCAGTATGTGATGAAGCAGTTTGATGCAATGGTGAATGTTTGATTCATTGTGAATTGTGATTGGTTAAATTTGTTGTTTTGATTTTTTTGTGTGATGTTTATTTCATTCCCATTATTGGTTTTTGGAAGTTTTTGTTGATTAATTAAAAGCCAGACTCTTTCTAACTCCCCTCATTCCCATATTTAACTTCATGGTTCAAAAGTGTTTGTTTAAAAAAAATTAATTTTTTTAATAAAGTGAACACTATGAATTTATGATCAGGTTGAAATGGGAATGATGATAAATTTAATGAAGGTAATGTATATTTTTGCACTAACTAAAAATGAATGAAATCCATCTCTTCTTTGTAGGATGACCTAAGTTACCATGACTAATTATTAATTCTTTCACAAGTAAAAGGGGAATGGAATGATGGTCAGATGGACTTTATATGATGTAAAGAACATGCATTAAATGTGAATAAATTATAGAGACATGTATTTTTGAGTAAGTTGAAAAAAGGATATATTGAATTATGATTTCAACTCAAGGAAATAATTGTGTACAAGGTAGTTTATATAGATGGAGATTCCTACATCAATTAGAATTCTCCAAGTATGGTAATTAACTATAATAAGAATCCTTCTATAACTAGAACTATTTCCATATTTATCTAACACCCCCCCTCAAGCTGAACGCCGGGAAACGAGCGGAAGCTTGGCGACCAATGCAGAGTAGCGTGGTGAAGAGAGAGCTTTGGTGAGAAGGTTTGCAAGTTGCTCATGAGAAGGAACATACGAGACTGTCATTTGTTCAGCAATTACCTGTTCTCGTACAAAATGGCAATCAGTACCAACATGTTTCATTCGCTTGTGAAAGACAGGATTCTTTGTCAAACAGATGGTGGGCTGATTATCACAAAGGAGGTGAGGAGGAGGAAGCTTAATCTGTAGGATGTCAAACAAGTAGGTGAGCCACATTACTTCAGCTGCGGCAGCCGAGAGTGCTCGGTACTCGGCTTCAGTGGACGACCGGGACACGCGGCTTTGCTTCTCCGTACTCCAAGAGATCAAATTTGAACCAAAATATATCAAGTAACCTGTAACAGAGCGTCCATCAGTCATATCATTAGCCCAATCTGAATCAGAGTATGCCTGAATGACTTGTGGTCCACGCCTGAATAT